TACGCGTTTTATTCATGATGCGCTGTCGTTGTTTAGCTACTCTTCCCGTTGTGATGCTTACATCTTCTAGCTATCGTTTCTGCGACCAAGCTATTCATATAATATTCAAATTTTATTGGCTTAAATCACAAGCACAGCTGTCGATGCACATAGTATGACTGTCTGACTTGTGAGTTTCGCCTCCGGCATCCCTAATTGTGTGCTACTGAGAAACCTGCAGATAGAAATAGAAATCAGCCAATTAGAGTACTTGATGTTGTCATCCACGGCATGTCACCAAATAACTAAGGTTGGCTTAGGGGATCTATTTTCCTCACATTGCCTTCGATAGCGCATCCAACTTTCGGGTGGAGAAAAACAATTTTATACAGAAATCGCTCATTTAGGGTAGTATGTTTTTCATAGAGCATAAAAATTATTCATCGCAGAGAAACTCGCTACTCTTCTTCCTGAATTAAATTAATCAAAACAGCGCTGTTGAAAGAAAAATGGTCATCCACACGCGGAGCTTTCCAATAAACTACAGAACTGCCTTCAAACAGGCGTTTTTGACTGTCGACTTCGAAACGGAAATCAGCAGTGCACCCTCTGCTGATCATGAACATAATTGCCCCGAATAGTGATGATTATCGAAGTGTATTGGGCCTGAATATAAAATCCTTGGTAGCGTTCTCTTTATGTCCACGTAGCCAACGCATAAAACAGCCAACTATACATGAAATAGAGTATTTTGTTTCTGCATTGTTAGTCATATTGAAATAAAACACAAAAAGTGTTTATTTATGAACAAGGCAAATTGAAAAGTTCTTATCAAGACAGATATCAGCCATTATTTGTTGTACGCGAATTGGCCATTTTGTGCTGCATTTCACCTACACAAAGTAGATTTAAAATCTGACATTGATTATAATTATCATTACCCACATGTCTTCGTTTGTGGGCAAAGTTCTATGGCAGTCCATTTGCGATTCCATTCATCCTCTTTTGACTTATATTCACTCCTAAGGAATCAGATAATTGAAGCAGTTTGCGAGATTTTGTGGTTTACTAACAAATATCACTGGCGAGTACTAACTTAACTGAGTGGCCTCCTGCACCAATTTTAGGACTATTATGAGCAGATATTTAAATTAAAAAGTAGCTGCCATATGTTCTTGAAATTAACACTGTGATTTACTATTTCTTTCGCATAATTTCATATCCGTCGCAAACGGGTTTCTACAAATGCACTTAACTTTCAGTACGACTTGGTGTGCGAAAGAAGCGAATGGCCGGCGATGATCGGCATGGCATACTACGCAGGCAGTTTCTGCGGTAACATACTGTTCGGCTTGATCGCAGACAAGTAGCAGTCAATTCTCGTTGTACAAAGCAGTTATGTGAATTTTTGGTGATTGTTAGGTATGGAAGGAAAAAATGCCTGCTGACAATCCTGCTCAACCACATCATCTCAAACGTTGCTTCCATATTTGCGCCAAACGTGTACGTTTATGCCGCGCTGCGGTTCCTGGTCGGAGCTACTCATGACGCTTTTTACGGCATCCCGTTTATTTTGAGTAAGCAGCACAGAGAAAGTATGAGGAAGTTTGACTCTGGTGCCCGTATCATGGCAGATTACTTGCCAATGCGATTACATGCCATGGCCATATGTTTTGCATAGGTGTTATAGTAGTCATGAAATCTTGTCGTGTACTTCGAAATCGTTGATAAATTGGACAACCATAGCCAAGGGTTGACCGGCTATTTCGCTCACTAACGCAACCGTCGAAGAAGATGATAACTGAATTGCAAACCCGTTGGTCTGCAGAAATAACCATCAGACCATCCTGCCAGCCATTCTTCAGAATTTTGACGTCGTGCATAAATCGGGTGCACTACAGCCCGATCGAAGAACTTAATTTTTCATTGACCAATTGCAAATACTTTGCATGACAAAAGTCACGCGTCTCAATGCCGCACTGGCTCCTTATACAAGATCTTCGAACGTTGGAGCCAATTCGCCTTCACTACCAGCACGTTTCCTACCTGGCGCTCGTGGGGTCGGCGCAGTGCCATGGAACAAGCCGTGACTGAAGAGCACGAGCTGCCAGTTGATATACCTGAGCCATGCTATCAACCGCACGGTGAGGTAAGCTGGTGGAACTCTCCGGCTGGTGGCGCCATCCACGCAATTCCACCGATGCTCGCGCAGAATGTCCCGTCCACCGCTGATCATCCGAAAATGAGGACTGTCAAATCTGAACGATGCCGTCCATCACCCGAAGTTGCGATTGGAATTTTTATAACTGAGTTGCATCATCTATAATCCGGGCCTAACCTCTCAGCGTTGCGGTACTGGGTAATGGCCGCTGATACCAAGGAAACATGCGTACGGCTTGCTACAGAAGAACAGAAAGATTGGGATATTTATCTTCAATAAAGAGGAATATTATTACTCGTCAGACGGTACGGTCAATCGAGAAATGGATGAAAAGTCGAAGGCTTGCTAATAACAGGGATAGCACTGCATTTGCGTTACATTAACCAGGGCTTGCGAGTTGTATGATCATGCTCATGCTTCAAGACATTTAAAACCTCACTTACAACGTAAAGCATATACCGTAAACGAAAAAAGAATAGAAAAAGAGGTGCATATTCACTCAGGCAGAACGGTTTGCTTTGTGTACAGCAGTATATTCCTGTAAAATTTGATGCATAATGTAACGTTTAAACACTCAAAGCCTAAGACGTTGCGACTGCAAGCTTTGTACAATGGCAAGTGTCTCTTGTTATGAATTTCTTAGCGTCACAGACAGGAAATGTAGAATTAACCTGCATCAATTGTGTTGAAGTCTCATTGAACAGTTGTGTAAGTAGTCTTGTAATATTCATGCAAAATCTATGAATCCATCTTTTACTCATGCTGACTTCTGAATTATTTTTCATTTTGCAATTATAGGCCTGGAACTTGTCGGACCGAGGAAGAGAACTACCGTCAACTCAGTCATGTGCATCATGTACGGCCTGTCATTAAGTATATTTGGGCTCGTCGCGTCGCTACTTCGTAATGGAGACCATATCACTTTGATTTGTACTGTCGCTTCCGCTCTCACTCTACTATACTACAGGTAAGTCTTACAGACGAAAACGCATTAGTTGTATTAGAAGTATGAAAGTTTTAAACCTTGATATTTATAACCACTAAAATCTTAAGGTAATGCATATAAGCAATAAATGGGTTATACGTGAAGGAAGGGCGATGAGTTTATTGATCAGCAGGTACATTTTAGCGATAATGCGTCATATTTTTTGTATCTTCCCGCTTGAAGTTAGTTCGTGGAATATGTGTTGAAACAAGAGCGCTTTTGCTTTTATCAAAATAGCCAATCATTATATGACGTAATTGGTAATCAATCAATCCATCAACTAGAGTTGCTGTTAACACAGAAATAGTTTACTCTGAACATGTAGCATTTCAGAACATGGTGACGACGTGATAGACGTCTTCGAATCATGGCCTTTGTATGGAAACTTCGCCGTGAGGGATGTCTTTACTGTTCTCCATGACCAGTATAAGTTCTTTGCAGTTTTACTGCATACCGAGCATTCGCTGACAAAAGAGCCAGTGGACAGATGCAATTGAACCATTGAGTTTCGGCAGCTTTGTGCCAACCAATCGATGTTCCATGGTCTGGAATTGTCCTGGGAAATTGCTGAGTCGTCATGAATAAATAACTGACAGTAATAGGAAAAAGAAGTCTCGTCTGGTAGCAGAAGGTTAGCGCTAGCTAATGCGAAAACAGCGGCGAGATCAGAGCCATCACGCGTGACTTTGCACCTCCTTAATTGGTACGAGGAACTTAAGTACTGTTTATGCAGGAAAAAATACATTTTATCAAAAATAAAATATAGATACTTCTAATCGACCTTATCGTGTCTCTTGATCATAATTTTACATAGTTAACGACTTATGTACTCAACTCGAACTTAAGGTTGTTGCCCGAATCTCCAAGATGGCTCATTACGTGCGGCAAAAGCGCCGAGGCGGCGAAGCTACTGACAAAAATAGGTAAGTTCAACAAACGACCATACAACGCCTGTCTTCTCCAAAGACAATGTGTAAGTTTGGTTCCTCCAAAGGCTGTTAGGGCAACAATGGCAAAACAAACGTTTCAGGAAATCCTGGTAGCCGGAAACGTTGATACTACGGGGAAACCAGTAAAGTGGCGATTTTCAGACTGCTTTCAGCTGTTTCGACGACCTAACATGCGAATCAAAACGCTGCTGATTACCTACATATGGTGAGGACATTATTATACGTGTATGCTGACGCCTTTAATTTTTGCCATGTGCATTCATTAAGTTTACTGATGCTCTCAACGTAACAGGCCTCTGGAGATTCACTCCCTTTGATTTTGCACTTTCTTGCTTTCTGCACCTTGCTTACACATTCCGAAACTGTGGGGTCAGTAAAAAGTATATAATCGAGGACGCATCGAACAGAGGTCTGTCAAATCCTTCAAGAATTTGTCGTAGGAATGAGTTTTCTTCTTCAGAGATTATATAACGACAAATGTAGCTGAATGGGGCAATGAATTTCATGAAAGAAGCTGCTGATAGGAGTAGTCTTAAACAAAGGATTCACTGTAAAGCACAGGTATTTTGAGGTGGCTATTTTTAGCAGCGGCAGTAAACACGAAGTTATTCAGTGAGGTCATGTAACCTGAAATGGTTTGCGAACAACGCAGTAATAAACAGTCAATGGCAAATTTCTTTAAGGCTTTGGGTAAGTTTGTTTAGAAGGATATCATTGTTACAAATCCACAGGGGAGGATTGGGATGCTCAGACTAAATTATGAGGTTACGGCATCCCCGCAGTTTAAATATTGCATTACAACAGAACCATGACTTGTATAAGATGAAACAAGAAGGCAGTGAAACATTAAGAAAGGATGGACTATGGCAGTAATATCGGAAATGAAATGTTTAACACAGAGTTTTCGAAACCGTAACATGTGTATTTCTTTGGAGCCATGGCCTGCCTGCTTAAATACCGCCTCCCCAGGCAACTAGGCAAAAAGTAGCGGTCCAATACGCTGCAAGATCTTATCTTTGAGGAGTCATTCAACATGCTCACGAGCAGCTTATGATGCTTATGCAGTAGCATATACGGAATACCAGCTCCTCTGCACTGTTCGTGATGAATCTGCATCTAATGAACAATATGACGCGAGATGCATCTGGCACCGCAGGTACTCAAATACCGTGGAACCGTGGCCTGTTACGTAAAATGGCCCCTCAAGCAACTAAGAGCAAGAGGCAGTGCAATACGCCGTGAAACTTTGTCTTCTCGGATTCATTTGTTATATAATCTACTGGGGCATACGAATAGGTTATGTTAATGCGGTAACATATAAAAAGAGAACCAATTCTTGAAAGATCGATCGTGACGAATGCGAGGTGCCTCTAGCGGACGAAATAGTGCGAGATGCTGACATACCATGGAGCCGTGGCTTGCCCGCTAGACAACTAAGAACAAGGAACGGGCAGTATGCGGTGAAATCTGGTCTTCGAGGAATTATTCGTTACTTGGCATGTTCCCTCTTGATATTGACAACAACAATAAATGTGCAGAAAACACAAAGTAATGCGATAGTTTAAAACTAAAATGAAAGGGAGGTAATTCATTTCATTTGCCTTCTATTGCTGTATTCCCTTTTTTATTTTGATATAACGTGCACATTTCTTTTTCGTACTGTGAATTCTATTATCAACATTGTCACATTGGTGAAGGAACACTTCTCAAGAGTTCATGTAGCTCGGTATTAATTAAGCAGTTGATTTTCAGTCCTACTATAGTTTGCTCAATTCTTATTTATTTTCGGTCCAGTGATGAATCTCAGAACTAGTGTAAGATAAATGCATCTTCAAGGTAAACAGTGTATGCCAATGATCCATGGTTGACTTCACCAAAACTTGGCCATTGGCACTTTTACCCCAAGGAACAACAAGAAAAAACAGTTTCAACCGTTAGAGCGTTTCCATCTCATACGTTCATGACGACTATCACAGAATTGGTGTTTAACTGGCTTACTGGATGCTGCGGTGATTTACTCTATCGTCGCACTTTCCTTCTTTTTTTAATTACAGCTGCTTCCTTCTTAGAGAATGTTCACGATATCACAAACTAATCGTAGATCCAAACTTGATTGGTGGGATGTTGGGAAGTTTGGCCTGACTCCGTCCTTGACAGTCCGTCTGGGACGAATTTCATTTATGATTAATTTGGTCTCTCTCGCTCTTTTCTAGCAGAAGTTTACTCCCCCCTGTGAATGAAGATTCTGTCAAGCCGTGCACCGCATTTAATAATGCCATCTATTAATGGGTAGCATTATCAAATAGTTAAAATAGGAATGAACGTACAATTAGGAATATTAACAGTTTTTTCTTCTCGATCCATGGTAAACGACGACAGCAAATCTTTTTCAAAATCTAGAATAAGTTTTTACGGCAAAACCCGTCATAGCCTCAGATAAACACTAATGTCACCGTCCGTTCAGATAACAGCAACTTTCGTACCCATGTCACAAATAGGATTCAAAACAGATAAGCAGGTTATGTGGCAGTCGTCAACCTAACTTTGTTCTCGCACAACCCTACGGACAGCTGCATATTTACTCACTTGGAAAAATGCAAAATAAGCAATATATTCTACTTTTGTCTACATAGACATGGTTCCGTTTACTTAAAAATCTAAATCATTTCTGCTCTGAATAAACGCTTGACACACAAAATGGATGACTTTAATTTAAAACGTATTTTACAACGACTGAATGCTTAATGTAGTTTGCTGACCTGAATTACTGTGCACCGAGGTTGCTCAGTCGGTATGCTGTGAGAGTTAGAACCGAGATACCCAGAGTTCGAACACCAGTCCAATCAATCGTGTTTATTTTCTCCGAGATCGATAAACGAGTACCACACTGCGGGAAGGAAACAAATTGCGAACTCAGCTTTCAACTGTCGTTCTTTGTCATATAAATAGGGCCTTCTTCACTGATGGAATGAAAATTGAAATCAGCGCCGTACCATTGGCTTCATGAAAATAAGGACACCATCGTGAAAGTGAAAGCAAGCCCAACATTCCAATGGTTAAAGCTTTCCCTTATCCTTCGTTCCTAACTGTTTTTACGAAAACATTCAGAGATTGACCAAACTCAAAGAATGTTACAGCATTTATATTACAGAGTTCATCCAAGGATCGTTTCTGATTTACATTAAAGATCTAGTTTGGTTAGGTGTATAAACAGGACGAACAATAGCTAGCCGGATGAGTTTCTGCGATGATTGAATCAGACAACAGTTTGAGAAATAACATATCTCCGGAAAATTAAACTGTCTAAAATTCTAATCATAGGTTTATGAACGACCTCGTATATAGCGGAATGATGTATAACATCCCGAACCTCCAACTGGACAACTATCTTACATTCTCTTTGAATGGCCTCGTCGAAATACCGGCGTACTTTGTCAGCTGGGCCCTGGTTAACCGACTTGGAAGAAGGAAACCGCTCTGCGCCATGCTGACACTAACAGCTGTCGCCTGCTTTATAGCCATTTGCTTACCTGAAGGTAAAAATTCTGTTAAAACGCTACAAAGGAATATATGGAAGGCTTTACCCACTCATATGAAAAAAAACTATAAAAACTAAAATGCACAAGCAAAAAACAGCTATGAAAAAGTTTATTAATCAACAGAGGGAAGCAAATGTTTCCTATATATATACACACAGTACATCAGCGAAAGCTTTAAGATAAGTAGCAAAGGAGCATAAAACTGTTTAAATCAAATAACGTATGAAATATGAAAATAAAACAAACGGCTTAAGTAACCGAATGGAAGACTAAGATAAATGTCCATAACATACGTAGAAAAGTCACGTCATACAACAAACACTCTCCTGCATGTGAAGCCGAAATCGAGATCTTTGAGACATCTGCGTAAACAGTCTTCGCATCATGATTCAAAGCTATGGACGAAGTGAAATCCTTTTATTCTGGAGGCAAATTAAGGATCCCATATCGTCCTTTACAACTGTTGCCACTGAGTGGGAAGCGAAGATAATAGCCATTCCAATAGGCAAGGATCGATACCTCCTTCCTCGTCCATGTTCAAAGTACTGATTACTACTAAATATTCTATGCTATCATTAGTTTCATCCAAACTATGAATTTCAACTACCTAAAACAAAATTTTCTGACCATTGCGCAAAACTATATTTACATTCATTCGATATTATTTAGGCAATGCCGGATTCAATTAGAGTCCTTTTATATAGCACGCCGTATGATTAACGCTTGATAATAGTCGACCTACTAATTGGTTACAATGTATTCCAAAACGAATCCAAATTTGAACCAACGGATTAAAAAGAACCGTGAGTACAGACAGTTTGTCTACTTGGCTTACATATACTGAAACATCTTCACATGATAGTGTCCGAAGAGCTGAAAATGCTAGGAATCAAAATCCACTTATTATTAACTGTACAAGAAACATACAGACCACGATAGTCCAGTTATTTGAAAATCCGATAATTTCAGTTTCGTTAGAAAGGAGATACGAAACCGAAGTTTTCCAAAGCAACAATCCATTAATTTAAAAGAAAAGAAAACTTCTCAGTCGATAGGTAAGTAATCAGCGGTTTGTTGATGTTACGTTACTTAAAAAAAATTTAAGCAACGCGAAACAATGTAGAGTTAAGTAGCATGTAGAAGAAAATCACTAAATATGCCCAACTAGAACAGCCAATCGTTTCTGACTACCGATTGGTCAGTTTGTTAAAACATATCTTGTGGCATTGATTATGCATAGGAGAAACGCTGACAGTTTCAATGCAGGAAGCAACGGGAGTGTTATAAACATACAGGCAAATCTTTTTCGCATCATCAGGATTCGTCACCTTACACACACTTCTATAAGTAATTTATTTTCCTTAAATTTAAACGAAAATTCGACCTGAACAAAACCTCGAATTAGCCAGATTCCATTGTACTAATTATTTAACTTAACAAATAGATTTTCACACGCCCATAATGTTTCTCCGTCGTTAAACGCCTTATCTATACCATTACGTTGCTTCCTACACACATGAAACAGGTTACACGTGGACGGTCATGCACGGCGTACTAGCAGTCCTTGCCAGGTTCTTCGTCTCGATTTCTTTTGCAACAATTTGCGTCTTCTTCAATGAACTTTATCCTACAAGTTTACGAGGCATTGGAATGGGACTGACAACGATGGTCACCAGCGTCGGAATGATCTTTGCACCATACATGGCTTACCTGGTAACTTACTTTCTCCGACCTAAAATGTTGACTCGCCTCAATTTTTTAGGTCCATTACCATCGCATACTGCCGCTGCTGTTAATGGGGCTGTTTTCGGCTTCCGCCTCCATCCTAGCTCCGATACTACCGGAAACGGCTCACATAGAGCTTCCTCAGACCGTCGAAGACGCCGAACATCTGCCGGTTAAATGCTACATCTGTACCACGACTGGAAGACGAGAACAAATGCAGCAGTTTACTGATCAAAAACCGACAGCTTAGAGGAGCATGTAATAAATGTACAAAAATAATAAAGTAGAAACAGGCGAGGCAGCAACTCTCTTTACAAACAAACGAAACATTTCACCGAGTTCAAACCGGATATTATAGAACCTGTAATCGAAGTCAACTGAGTACAACATAAAAGGTTGATAGAAAAATCATCTATCAGAAGATGATCTTCTTCCTGAGCCAAAAGGACTGACAAGTAACTCGGATCAATTGTTCGATAAAAATGGAATAATGTAATAAAAAAATTACAAAACTCTAAAAACAATTTCAAAACAGTCGCACCGAGACATTTCACAAACAAATCCGATGCGCATGAAATCAGTGAATAGACAATTTCTTATTAAAAGACAAAATAAAATTTCGAACCACTTACAGTGATTGTATGACAGGTAAAACGAAAATGGACGAGAACCTGAGGATAATCACAAAGCAACTGCACCGGAGGGACAATGCCCAGCGGACAGTTCATCGTCTCGTGCGTATCTGTCAGGTCAGGTGGACGTCGATTGGTCATCAAACCGGTGCTGCCGGTGGTTGATGTTGTTGTTTTTCTTTTTCTGTCTCAAACGACCGACAGCTTCAACGACGAACGTCACATTTTCTACCAGCAAGCCTCACACGTTTATACAACAAAAGCAACAAAATTTTAACCAGAGTAGGAAGTCGCATACTGCAGAGGTAATTTTAGCATCAAAAGCTACTAATATAACAACAAATCAAGCGTTATTCCAAAATGAACGTAAGCAACGTCACTCAGAATTTGAATTTGTGCCTTCAGCAAGATAACACGTAAAACCACATCGGAAAGAAAGAACATGAAAACGTGCAACCTGGGAGAGAGAATACGCGATTAGCCATGAGAGTCATGTCTGACGCAGTCCGTCGAAAGTCGCCGCTGACTACTACCAGTAATGGGAAAGCGAAGACGAACGAACGAATCAAACGGCGGGCGTAGATCGATGCGATTTGAGTTGGTGTGTAGTGAAGCGGGTACAGAGAGTATGACAGTGATTGTCCCGACGGATTTC